TGGGAAACGGACGTCACCTTGTCCAGCATTCTGGTGGACGACGCGCGGTAGAGATGCCGCAAGTTAGGGCCAAGCAACCAATTTTTTTTTTTTCTCAATCACCCGTGATCAACGGTTTCCTCGTGCCGCCAAAATTCGAATTTGCCGCTTGGGAACGCTGAAGTTTCTAAAGCTCTTCAGCTACCTTGTGAATAGCTGAAGAGCCATAGGTTCGGTTTCGATTTAAATTTTGCACTTTCTTACAAGCTGAAGATCTATCGGAAATAAATTTTTTTCGTGATAGCGTCACTTGTCAAACGCGGCGTTTCACTGGCGTTGGGGACTACCACAGGGACGGCTTCACTCTGCTGCTTGTTTTTTTGTTCTCCTCTGCTACTTGTTTTTTTGGATGACAGCAGCAGTGAGGACTGTGGATGATGTTGGATCATTTGATTTGAACTCCAGCACCAAGGTTTTATGTCCAAGGCCCCGAATGTGCACCACCGCATAATACAGCTTCTCTGAATGGCACTACTGTCACAGAAGCTATAGCTTGCCAACGTTCCCTCCCCTCCCCTCCCCTCCCCTCCCCAAAAAAATACAATATTAGATAGAGTGGTCTAACTTGTAGAAGAGATAGTGATGCGTATGAAGGCACGTTTGGTGTATTTCAGATTTTTAAAATTCATATTATAATCTCATACAGCCACAAACGTTCCAAATTTTCATTTTTGCATAAATTCCAATTTTGACAAATCAATATAAAAAAAATCTCTTTCAGACATCATTGCAATTGTTTGTTCTTTCTTCTAAAGAGCAGCTTATTGGCTACATTTTGATGTATTCTAATGTTGTATCATGATTAGATATTAAAATAAAAAAAAGGTTTTCTTCATCTCCCGAAAATCACCCCCTTTTTCCCATGGCATGAAAAGAGTTAAAAAGTACAGAAATGAATGTTACATCCTTTCCTGCATTCTTCACTCAGCCCTCAATTTCTCCTCTCCTCCCCCCCCCCCCCCCCCCCCTCAAAAAGAACAACTAATAAGAGAAAGACAAGGCAAACTCACACTCTCTATACATCACACCTTAAAGTTTTGTTCTGAGCCTTATTGAGTCAAAGCCCACGAAAATATGTTCCGTAGTCCCTCTAATAAACTTTTTGGAGGAATCATGCAATCCTCAATATTTCTAGTAGTCACTGCCACTGCTCGGAGGGTACAGTTGTCATGGCAGCAATTGAGACAGCAATTAATCCATTAGGTCAGTATTTCAACATGCAGCAACCCCCACTACCAACTCACGTAATGTCCGCTCCGGCGATGAAGCAACCAGGCTTTGAAGAAATGAGCACTGCACTTGTGACGCTATGGTTGTTTTCAAAGTCCTTCAGGACAGCATCCATGTCCTCCATCACTTCAGCATTCAGTGAATTCACCTGTAAAGACGCATGCTGTAATTTAGATTTCTGAAAGAGACACTGAAGACATATCCAAAAATTTTCTAGAAAGACATCTTGTTTTTAGAAGCTTTACATGCAGCCTAAGTGTCCCCAAATATTCCGACATACACTTTTTACCGATGGAAGAAAACCAGCAAAAACCACCAAAAGTGACCTCCACCTTCGGCAAAAGCAGCCATGTGAGACAATCATCTCCCACAAGAGACAGAATTTGGAACAAAATTTATAGAGGAGGGATACAAATGAGACTACGCTGGGTGGCAAAAGCTACCACAAGATACGAAGGATATACCTTATTCATCTATCCATCCACCCTACATGTCTCTCTCTTCCCTCCCAATGTCATGTGCAGCAAGATTGGATGATGAACTCTTTAATAGATTTGTGAGACACAGAATCGTATGTTTTGACTAGAACTTTATTGCTGCTGCCAGAAACACCTGTACAACATAAATCAACTACAAAACTGAAATTTAGAAAAAGCCTACTTATGCATCTCTTAAAGGAGCAGAGCAACGATTTTTGTCCTTTCAGAAAATACCGCTTAGAATTAGTGGTTGACATTCATGATCTACTAAACATGCAATAGATTTTTTTTTTCTCCAAGCAATGGTAATTGCAGATGAAATTAGAGAGAAACGAGCAGAGTTTACGAACTCGCAACCAGAACAAGCAGTCACGTGATCCGGTGCTGAAAGTAAGCTGCCAATGTTCATTGTAGCCATGCACTGGGGTTGGCAGAGCACAGGACATGTGCCGAGTTCCAGACATTGTTAGGGGTCTACGATTACCATCACTGCAGCCAGTGAACGCTAGTTACTATTCGAATGCTCGTCGAGGCATTGATTGTATCGAGTGCTCAAACAGTGCTCACGTCTGATCCATGAGCCAGACTCTTGCCACCATGTCCCTGTGTCTGTGTCAACACTGCGATCCCCATTAATATGTCATCAAGTTTTGTGAAAGAGAGACTTAAAGGGGCACCGACACCCCAAAGGTCGTATTTATTTTTATTGTCTAAAACGATGCAAGTTGTAGTCAGAGACACGCAAAAAAAACCGCATCGCGAAAAAAAAATTTCCCGCGCGCGCGCGCGCCTTTTTATTTTTGGCGTTTGATTTTCCCGCCTCTCGCCTCCTCGCTTCTTTTGATCGGTGACGTCAAAAATCAGGAAATTTAGAAGCTTTGTAGGCGACATCTCTATAACATTTAATTACGGCAATCTTAAAACATGTTTTTTAACGTAATTGCGAACGCACTACGGCCCTTCTTTTTGAAATACCAAAAATCGGGAGTTCGTTGTGGTGCCGTCTCCTGGATTTGTATCCTCCAACGGAAAACAGGCGACACCGCTCAAAACCGGTCCGCCGCAACGCCGGCGCTAGCCGGCGCTCGCTCCTATCCTCCTCGCTTTGGGTCGCCATGGCAACAGCAGGGAGTGGTGACAGGAAAGTGGACTCTCAGGTCTCCTCAATTTTTGACGTCAAGGCACCGGCGCCGATCGCGCGGGAACTTCGAATTCGGCATTTGGAAATTGTTTTTTTACTTCACGAATACTGAATTCCCAAATCTCAAATTTTGAGGGTAATGTCCCGGCATCGTTTTCAATCGTTTCGGATAATAAAAAAAAATATGATTTTGATGTGTCAGTGCCCCTTTAATGAAAAAGTCTGCTTTTATATAAAAAAAAAAAATTACACCGCAACAAACCTCTCTGGTATGTGGTGCTGCATGCGAGTATACTTGGGTCGCACTAGTGCCAGTGAATTTAAAGAAAGTGAGACACAGTGCAACCGAATATTGTTCCAACCCCTTTAACAGATGACATTCAAGACCTTACCCTCGAGTCCGGCGAGTTGATGCGAACCACCGCCACACCATCCTTGACAGTGTATGTTATATGCTTTAAACCTTCGAGAGAGAAGCGAAAAAGCGAGTCATCCTAACAAACCAGCTTCAATGCGTCAAGAAAGTATCACAGCAACACCATATTCGAGAATTTCACTTACTGTTCATGGTGGTCAGTGAAAAATCCCTAACCGGTGTCGTCCCTAGAATGCGTATAGAAAAATGTCAGTGGGGCAAATCGCTCTTGGGTATACCAGGAATGAACTGGCAACTAATTTTTGCTTGTGCCAAAGCTTACTAGCTTCAGAAAAGTAAGTAAAGCTATGTGGAGCGCAAGTTCGTCTGCTTCTTGCACGGGGGTTGTGGTGATGTCAGAACGTCAAGCTCTTATTGGCTCTGATTGAAGGATAGTGGGTAGACCTCAAAGCAAGCTTGCTTGAGGTTTACCCTCTATCTTTCAATCAGAGCCAATCACAGCTCGGCGTTCTGACGTCACGACAGCCCCTGAAAACTAAGCAGATGAACTTGCTTTCCGCATAGCATCGTGTTTTTTGGCACCATTGCAAAAAGGCTTCCGGGTTTTGGCAGGCATATGCAAAACGTTTTTTTTTTTCTCTCTCTCTTTTTTTTTGGGGAGGGAGGGGGGGGGGGGGACAAGACATCAAATAGGTGGCTCCCGTTTCCTTTAGTAATTACTTCATTTAGTAATAATAATAATAGTCTGCTTGCAAAGTAATGTTAAACCGGGTGGCTAGCAAGGCTAGAACAGAAAGGAGAAAGCCCGTACGCTCCTGCGCCTGTTAGCCAACCAGCCAGGGGAGGAGAGAACAAAATAGCCTAACAAAAACTGCCCTACAGAAAGCATGTTGGACACTGAGCACGAACACACTACATAGAGCCTCAATTTTCGCCGTTTTCGCTGCGCCACACTTAGCAGATGGGAAAGTATTCACCAACAAACGCGATAAATACAGAAATATTTTAGTATCTATTATAAAAATAGGAGCTAGAGATACTAAAGGGAATAGATCTTCAGGTAAAACTTGGGTCACGGCGAGATAGCCCCTGCACCAGGAATGGTTCACCGACTGCAGAAATAAACATGACAACCGTTCGCGTTCATAACATGCGAGAACGCTCGTTCTACAAAATTTTTACACTGCAATTAACGAAACATAAGGTTCAAGGTTATCGAGATATGGTTACATCTTCCATGAGTTCCCCACTACAGCGGCCTACAGCTAGGAGACTCCCTACATGACCTCGACATTTAACGCTTTTCAAAGTTTCGGGGGCACATCGGGATTCTCATAATATCAGTAGAAGCGTTAAGTATGATATGAGGAAGCGCTCAAACTCACCCAAGGCCGATAACCGATGAGGAAAATTACGGAAAACTCCCAGCACCCGACAAGCCATGATCACTTCCTCGCCGACGTTTCTCAGGCAATCGCGGATCAAACGGAGCAAAGGCCGGCAAACGTGTGCTAAAACCCGATGCAATGCATGTTTACGCCGTTACACTTTTCCTGATTTGAAGGCAACGGGCCTGAATAGTTTGTAATTAAAAGTACACAGGTGAATTATTTTAAAATTTAGTTATTGTTGAAACAGTTTGAGCATTGTCGTTACGTCTGGTAAGGTTTGGGTTGGGATCGGCCTTCCGTTTTTGGGTCACCTATCGCATCCTCCTTTCAATTACTTTGGTCGGCACAGTCGATTAAAGATGGCGTACGTCGTTGGTAGAGTCGGCATCGCTTCCGCGTTAAATCAGGCGAAATTATGTAAGTATGATTTGTCAAACTTCGAGCTGGGGGGCAAACGAAAGTTTATGTATGTCATTTCGAAATGTCCCTATTGAGTTTTGTCGATCTAGTTGATTTTGTGATGTCTTCAGTTCAGACCGTTCTGTGCCCTTGCACGAAAGGGTTGCGACCAGCGATTTCCTGATGCGTATTAATTTCCGGATTTCGTTCATAACGCATAAATGCAGTCTTCTCTTTTTTTTTATGTGTATATATGTTGTCACGTGCTTACTTGTCACGGTAATCTAACTTGTTTACATACCTTAGATGTTTACAAGTGTCTGTAGAGGTATACCTGCGTAGTTCGAAATTCAGTGGTTTAACAAGACGATGTACAAAATGTCACAAAAAAAAAAAAAAAAAAAATATATATATATATATATATATATATATATATATATATACATACATACATGCATACATACGCGTTAAAATGGCTTGCAAAGATAAAAAGACTAGACCGATCTTGTAGCAACTTTTCTCAGAAATGTCTTTAACTAGTCACATTGTTGCGCTAAAATTTCAAGTCGGAACTCCGAGTAGTAAGAAAATAAAGTGATTTTTTTTAACGGCGAAGCGGCAGTTGTCGGGGAGATCATAACTTACAGCGCGACTGGGACGACAGACAGACAAGAGAAAACACAGGACAAGCGCTGAACTAGCAACTGACATTATTGAAAAGATAGATTGCGGATGCCAACCCCTTTTCATTAACACAAGCACATACTACCCTGAGAAATAATGGAGACATACTACATAACACAAAACGGATCCTTGTGTGCGAGTCAGCCCACAGTGACTTTGACAAGCACTGAGATCAGTTTTTTGGATCTTGGGTAAGTGGTCCAGTTTCGTGTTGAGTGAAAGAAGAAGTGCCAGGGCCACAAAGGGGCATGCCTGCACGAGCATCAGCAGCATGTGTATTTTTTTCTTTTCAATAGAAACACTTGCTAGTTCAGCGCTTGTCCTGTGTTTTCACCTCTGTCTGCCCTTCTCCCAGTCGCGCTGTAAGTTATGATGGAACTCTTACCAACTCGCCCCATTGTCCATTATTCTGTCGGGGAGACACTGAACAACGGCCATGTTTCTTTGCCTTATCCAGAGATGGCGCTGAAGATTACTGGACGTAAAGCCCCTAGGCTCCGAGCGAAAAAGCACTCTTTTATCTGAGTCTTTGGTTCCGAGGGATATTTGTCAAAATAAAGTTGTTTGGGTTTTCAGTTAAGTTTCACAGTGGAGAAAGTGTCACACCATAAATATTAATAAATAAAACCACCCAATACTGCTCCAGAAATGACGTACCTTCGTCTGCAATGGTTCTCGTTTCGTACGTTGCCTACTTTTGCAGTTTGACGTTTGAAGGAGACACAAGAGGCAGCCAGGAGTGCACCTGAAAAAGCAGCTATTTGGTGGCTCTGAAAAGCCACTGAAATCTGAACTACGGTCTTCGTAGTTGCGGTCAAATGACTTATTCACACTGGTTACTATAAGCTGGTTACAGTGTGTGAATGAGGCATTTGACCGTAGTTGCAGTCAAATGACTCATTCACACTGGGCGCGTTCAGTAGAGGCCCCGGAGTCAAGGAGTCACTGACTCCTTCCACTAGACGGCCAAAAGTCACTTCCGGTGCACGTAACTCCGGGGCTTCGGAGTCAAGCTCCGAAGCACCGAGTCCGGAGACGGTGCACGTAGAGTCAAAGGAGCTAAAGATGGCGTCATTTCCTGACTGGTGACGATTTCCGGGGAATTCGGCGGGAATATCCAGAAAAGGTTTCGAATTCTCCCGTGCGTCTGCTGCCATGGCTGCATCGATGACATCCACTGCGTCCGAAAGCCCCGTTTATCTGGTTGAAAGCGACGACGGTAAGGGACAACTCATGCGCTAACGTTCCGTCTCACCTCCTTATGTTTCATTTCGTGTTGAAAATAAGAACCTCTCCGTATATGTCGTTTTTTTTCTTACAGGACGCTGCACTACTCCTCTCTATATTAGTATCGGTGAGTACCTCCATATTTCGCTGATCGCATTCTTGCATTTGAAATTGACATCGCTCATTTAAATTGTCGGCGAAAATTAGTTGTCGGTGAGTGTGAGCGTTGCGCGACAAACGCGAGCCATCGCCGATCGGCATTTTTCACTCACTTTATACTGCAGCCCAATTCCGCTTGCGCACGGCCGCTGCATTTCTATCGATATTTTGGTAGAGCTCAGCTAGATACTTCCACCGCTCAAGCGCTATTGTTGCTGTGGGCCTTCCTTGTATCGAAGTGCGAGCCACTTCCCCTTGCACTAACAAACAATCATTTGATCATGCTTCTTGTTTTGATCACATCTTCATAAACTTCGCTAGCGTGCACATTCTGTCGTGTGAATATGCATTGCAGTGTGTTACGTAAAAGTGCTGTAATGCAACTGCTTTCCCTTGTTGACAACTTCGCAATTTTTTTTTGTTTATAGTCAGTGGTCATCAGGAGTTGGACCCGCAGCCATGTAGCAGCAGGGAGTGCGACGGTATGAATCTCACATATAGCTTGGGTTCTGAAGGGAATTTCTAAAAGCCAAAAATATTCTCTCGTGTGAAAAGACTTAGCTTCTTTCTGGCCTAAAAAGGCTGTTAGCAGCATGCCGGCTGTCACTCTCTGGCTTCCAGGAGGCTTGAAGTCCTTCCTGCCAGTGTTAACTAACCTCGTGTTTTGTCTATAGTTGCATGTAATGGGGCTTTGATGATTGCTTGGCCTCCCCGGCATCGCCTACAGCTGTATATATAAGGTTTGGTGTTTAAAGGGTCATGAACTGATAACCTTAATAATTACATTTGATGTTTTGGACATTTTAGATCATGAAGGAAGCCCTGATGAGGCTGGTGAAGGAGGGGCATGGTCCCGCAGCGAGGTGTTGTTGCTGATTTCACTTTATGAAAAGTACTATGCTGACTTCAACAACCGAAAGTTGAAGAAAAGAACAGTGTGGAGGAAGATCAGTGTAGAAATGAATGAAGCTGGTGCCCACAGATCGCCAGACGACTGCGAAAACAAATTCAAAGGTTTGAAGCGGACTTACACTAGAAGGCGGCAAGATAAAAGGAAGACAGGACGAGGGCGCAAGGATTGGGAATTTTATCAACATATGGACAACCTTTTCCAAGATACGGCCGAGTACACTGCCCCGGTGTGCACGAGCATGCCGGTCGTTCCTGCAGCCTCAGTCACCGAGTCCCAAGTCATCATCCCAGCCAGCACAGGGCCGTCAGCCACCACCACAGCTCTAGCCATTGCCATGCCCTCCCAAGCCGGCACTGTGTATCCGCAGAGCGCACAGACTCCAAGGTCAACGAGGCAGCCTGAGCTCCCGCAAGCAAGGAGGAAGAGGCCGGCTGCAATCCTGGGAGAAATCCTTGAAAGGATGGACGCATGGGAACAAGAAGACAGGCAGCGGTACAGGCAGCAGCTGAAGCTGCAACGTACTAAGCTCCGACTGCTGAATCGCCTTGTATGTCAATCTAAACAGTCTCAGCAGCCTTAAAGGGATGCTGGACCGAAATTTAGAGTTCGGAAAACAATGCAGAAGCTGCAGACGGGACGCTACAATCCCTACAACACTACTCGGAAGGCGATATCTCGAATCGACAGCCGTATTTTTGGAAAAAAAGTCGAGATTGAACAAGGCCGATGAGGCACGTGACGTCAAGATATCTCGTTTCCTCCTCTCTTCGTTTCGCTGCCTCAAGGCGGCGAGGCAGAGAAGACTCGAGGTCGTTTCCTTTTCTCGATTCTTCTCGGAGAAACAAGACGTCAACATACGTGTCAAATGCGCCTCCTTGTTTTTATAAAAATATGGTCATCTGTTCGAGATATCGCTGTATGAGTGATGGTTTGGTGTTTGTGGCATCCTGTTGCACGCTTCTCGCCGCTGTATTTTGTGGAATCCAGATTTCGGTTCAGCATCCGATGCTGAACCGAAATTGGATTCTACAAAACACGGCGGCAAAAGCGTGCAACAGGATGCTGCAAACACCAAACCATCACTCATACAGCGATATCTCGAACAGATGACCATATTTTTATTAAAAAAAAAGGAGGCGCATTTGACGTGTATGTTGACGTCTTGTTTCTCCGAGAAGAGGGAACAACCTCGCGTCTTCTCTGCCTCGCCGCCTTGAGGGGGTGACGCGAAGAGAGAAGGAAACGAGATATCTTCACGTAACGCGCCTTGTCGGTCGTCCATTCGAGATATCGCCTTATGAGTGGCGTTGTAGGGATTGTAGCATCCCGTCTACCGCTGCTGCATTGTTTTCTGAAATCCAAATTTCGGTTCACCACCCTTTAAAAGGTACACCGAAGGGGTTGGTGCTTACGTCATTTTATAGCTCTAATTTATTCTCTGTGCTCCAAGGATTCAAGAAATCTAGAAACTGTTGTTACACGTGCCCCACTTCAATATAAAAAATGAGATGTTCGTTAGAAATCTGACAAAAATGCTGCAGAGGGGTGAAGGGGCAAAAATGAATTAGTGAAACCAAGTGAAACACGCTTGGTTCATGCCTTGGGCCTGCGAGTCAGCTGTAGACAAGATCTTTTCATAGTCGCCGTGCCCATTTATTCATGTGACCTCGAAAGTCATTTTGCTTAGACTAAATGCTCTTCGCAATGCTCCACTAGTTCTTCTTAGCTCCTCCTTTTTTCCCTCGAGCCATTCTTGTTGACAGTTTGGCTTTGAATGCGTGTAATGCAGAAGGACGCTATAAATTTCTCGATTTCTAGGATCCTTGGAGCAGATGCACGAAACCAGAGCCACAAAAAGAAAAAGTTAAAAACCTCTTTAGTCCACCTTTAAATTTCACTTGTCCACAGTGATGGTCATTTAGTGTGTCGTTCTGCGGCATGAAAAGAAAGTATAGCAAAATGCTAACCTTACTAGTCAGGCCAACTGGAACAAGCATTTTCGTACTGAACCTTAAGAGCTGCATATATTGTTTGT